TAATAATAATGTGTTTGGTTGTTACCTAAAAAAGTTTCATAACAAAGTAAATAGATGTTATCCTGTCTATAATCAAATGTTGGCTCAACTCAGCCAATTTTTTTTGAGATTGTTAATAAACTCAGTTATTCTGGAAAGACATGTTCTTGTTAACTTGCTAACTATACCAATGTGAAAGCTTTGAAGACCAAAACACTCTGTAATGAATCTCACTTGTAAAATGCACAAGCCATGTTTTAATTTTTTTATTTCTACGTGTATCTTTGTTTTTTCATGCGACCCAGCCTTGCTGTTGCAAGAATTAGTTGTAAATTATGTTTTATCAATTTAAATAATTTATTAAGTAATTTTATTTATTAATTTGCTGATTATTTATACAAAAAGGCTACTTTCTACTACAAAATGCATAAATGTAAACATCAACATTTAACATTTGCATTTGGTTTCACACATTTAGATTTAGGATTTGATATTTGGGATATTATTTGTGTTTCTGTATGAATTTTTTTTGTATTTATATCTACTGGCTGTGCACCAAATTGCCCCTTAGGGATAATAAAGATTCTTGAACTTGAATTTAGGCATAAGATTAAATCGAACATTCAGTAAAAACTAACATAATGTATGAACAGTGAGCTAAATAACAAAATGTTAATGGTTTTTTTGTAACTAGGACTTTACGCTCAGAAAGTGAGCTAAATGTTAAAAACATTGAAGTTACATTTTTMAACARTTTATTTTACACTTGGCGCCCCGTAGCAGTGTTTTTTCAGGTAGGATTTCTGACCTCATGTTTCCTCTCCTCCTGTGCGTTCCCCTGCAGTTACCTTCCACAGGACAGCTCCCTGCAGTCAGAGACGGTCCATTTCAAACGGGGGGTGTCCCAGCAGTTCTGCCTGCCCTCGCACACCGTCAACCTGAGCGAGTGGGCCGACGACGAGGTCCGTGCCGACGCTCTTCTGCTAAAACGCAGCAGGTGTGAAGCTCAGAGGCAGACAGACTGATAACCACGGTGTTTCTMTTCTCAGCTGCTGTTCGACATGGACAAGGAGGTCTTCCCCATGGTTGTTCAGGCTGTCGTGGACGAAGGAGAAGGTGAGCTGTRGGCTTTAGTTTTGGCTGATGTGACTGTACAGCAGAGGTTTAATGCAGAGATCTGTCTGTTGTAGAACATTTGGGCCACTCTCACATCCTGCTGGCTACATTTGAAAAGGTAAGACTGAGACTCAATAACCTGATGTCTTAGATTGGTTTAACATTAACCTTATTAACACATGCGACTTTTGCAGCACATGGATGGGAGTTACTGTGTAAAGCCTCTGAAGCAGAAACAAGTGGTGAATATTCCAGCTTCTCGCCTCCCTTCCTTCCAGCTTTTGTGTTCGACGTTTGAAAGACAAAAGATTTATTTCCCCTCYAACATTTTACACCTGTCCCTCGAGACCTGCAGCCTTTATTGTTCTTCATCGTGCTTTTCCCTCTCAGGTGGATGGAGTGAGTTACCTGCTGCAGGAGATATATGGGATCGAGAACAAATACAACAGCCAGGAATCAAAGGCAAGACCCCCCCCACACCCACACACACACAAAGCTAAAATATTTGATACAAAGAAATCTTTGAAATCTCAACTTTTTGTTGTTGTTTTTGCTCTGCAGGTTTCTGAAGATGAGATCAGTGACAACAGCGCCGAGTGTGTTGTGTGTTTGTCTGATGTGCGAGACACTCTCATCCTGCCGTGCAGACATTTATGTCTCTGCAACGCCTGCGCAGACACGCTGCGCTACCAGGCCAACTGCTGTCCCATCTGCAGGCTGCGTGAGCTTTCTACCGAGATTTAAAAAACAAAAAAGGATTTTAACTGCTTTAATTAATCTTTAGTCTGAAGCAGAGGTGGGTAGTGTACTGAAGTAGAAGTAGAAGTACTTGAACATATTTTTACTCTAGTAAAAGTAAAATCTAACAATCCAAGATATGACTCAGGTAAGAATAAAGCAGTATTTTGTAAAGAGGCTACGTGAGTACTGAGTAACTGATTTAATATTTTAAAGGGGCAATATTATGTGTTTCTCAGGCATATATTTAAATACTGTACCATTAGAAAGAATCTGTCACCGTCAGTTGTTATTAAAATGCTGTTTTATGTTTAAATAGAAAATAAACTTGACTTCTCATCACTTACTCTTCTAAAGGCCTTGAAATTGGCCTCTGTCTTTTTAAGAACCACCTTCCGCTTCTGTCCCGCCCATTTCAGCGCGGGGGTGTGGGGTGGGGGTGCGCTCGCTAAAATGCTATGATTCAGGTTACTTGGCATTTGAAAATACATTTCCTCAAAGGTATTTTGAATCTGAAAAGTACGGAGTCTGCGAGGGGACATGGGGGATTTTTTTTTCTTTTTGCATTCCCTCGCAAAAGTCGTTTAACACTGTTCTGCCTGACAGTTTATTATCAAATTGACATGTTCACCATTAGCTGCACGACGGCTCAGTGGTTAGCACCAACGCCTCACAGCAAGAAGGTCCTGGGTTCGATCCCCGGTTCGGACCTGGGGTCTTTCTGTGCGGAGTTTGCATGTTCTCCTCGTGCTTGTGTGGGTTTTCTCCGGATACTCCGGTTTCCCCCACAACACAAAAACATGTACAATAGGTTGCCTTCAGGCCCAGGCCGCTCTTGAAAAAGAGATCTGAGATCTCAATGGGATTTGCCTGGTAAAATAACAGTAAAATAAAATAAAAAATAAAAATAAATAAAAATTAGCGAGTTAGCCTACTGCTTTAACTCAGCTTCAGAATGAATATATCACACAGCCATGCGTTGAAGTATGTCATATGCCGATAAGCCACGTAATATCAATGTCAATTTCACGAACTTGTGGCGACACATCCTATTTGGTAACCGGATATTTCAAAATAAAAGTTTGATTTATATGGACGTTCATATACAAAACCTTTTTTTGCGTGGGAACGCAAAACGATATTGCAAGGTAACGCAAAAGTATTGTGAGGGAACGCAAAGGTATTGCGAGGGAATGCAAAAGAAAAAAATCCCCCCATGTCCCCTGGTGGGCTTCGTAAAAAAGTGCTTCACTGAGTGAGAAGTAGTAAGAGCTCAGCAGACAGTTTCAGTTTCACTTTCAGTTTCACCAGTTGTTTGCTTTGTTGCTGCTGAGAGCCTGCAGGAGTCATGGGCAGGGTGTGTGGGGTGGGGGGTGGGGAGGTGTGCTCTGTGATGAGGAAGCTCGGCTTGGAGACAGCCCAGAGGCGGAGCTGGTCCCAAAAGGCGGTTCTAGTCCCAACCGGTCGTTTTTGCTCCCTGCCTGTCTGCCTCAGGACACTACAGGATTTCTCAAACATGCATGAATGAGTCAAAGTAAGACTCTGGGCATGTTTTTTGATGAGAGGATAACATTATAACATGATATAAAACTCAAAAAAGTTGATTTTACATGATATAGCCCCTTTAATAGAATAGAATAGAATAGAATAGAATAGAATAGAATAGAATAGAAATAGAATTTAATTTATTGTCCCCTAGAGGAAATTTGTTATGGACTCGGGGTGTGTGTTGCATAATAGCAGCTGCCCAAACAAACAATAAATACGAATACAATACACATGAACATCTAAAAACATAGACTACACAACAGTTTAAAAACAACAGAACACAAAAATTAGTGTACTTCCAGGCCTGAATGTGTCCATTTCAAAAATTTCATTCAAATTTTGATAGAGATGGGTACAAAAGAGTTTTTAAAATGGTTCAATTTAGTTTTTGGGATTCTGTACCTTTCTACTCGAAGGCAAGAGCTCATATTCCACATACAAGATGTGGGACAGATCCCTCTGCGCCTGCCTAGCCAACTTTTAAACACCTTTTAAAACAGCAAAACTTACTAAAATGCTGAACAAACATCATATAAAAAAAGTATGTGTGTATGTAAGAGTAGCAATACTTCATAATAACATTACCGGAGGTTGGTAGAGTACCCAAAAATTGAACTCAAGTCACAGTACCACAACTTCAACATACCTTTACTCAAGTAAAAGTAAAAAGTAATCATCCAAGAAATGACTCAAGTGAGAGTAAAAAGTATTTAGTAAAAAGGCTGCGTAACTGATGAAGACATCAGTCATTTAATATTTAAAAATGACATCATCAGATGGACCAAAATATAAAGCTGTGGAAATTTTGGTATTTTAAAAATRGAAATGAAAATAATTCATATAAATAAAATAAAAAGTAATTTAGGCAAAATAAACATTTTTCAAAATAAGTTTCTTTCAAAATAAAATGTATGAAACTAACAAAAACCTCATCTGTGTGTGAGAGTAAGAGTAGTAAAACTTCATAATAAAATTATTCAAGTCAAAGTAAAAAGTACAGTGTCGTAAAAATACTAATAAAAGTAATTTTTTCCAAGAAGTTACTGAAGTAAATGTAACTGAGTAAAGTCAACTAGTTACTACCCAACTCTGAATATTACTCAAGTAAAGTAAAAAGTAAAGTCTAGTAAATCCACTCCTAAAATAACATTTTTTCACCAAAGAATTAGTCATATACGTAAATGTAGTTGCTGCCCACCTGTGGTCTAAAGGCATGAAATAGTTCCTCTCTGTTTAACATCAGTTACATTTTTCTAAAACCTGTTATTGTTTCACACCTACGGTAAATAAACCTTTGCTCTTGTTTCACTTCCCTCAGCTTTTAGAGCTTTGCTGCAGATCCGAGCCATGAGGAAGAAGCTCAGTCCTCTGACGCCAACCAGCTTTAACCCCGTCATCACCTCGCAGACTTCAGACTCCGAGGAGCACTCTGTAAGGCAGGAGAAACATCACCTGAACGTGGACAGACCATCCCTTCCAGTCAAACGAAAGGTTTCCTCTGCTCTCGTTTCAGGCGTCGGAGCACGTCCCTCCGGGTTACGAGGCCGTGTCTCTCCTGGAGGCGCTGAACGGGCCACTGAACACCTCCTCGGTGGTCCCGCCTCCGCTCCACTCGGGCCCCAGCCACGTCGCCGGGGTTCTGCCGCCGTACAGCAGCGAGCCCCACCCAGCGCCGGCCCGCTCCGTCTCGCCTCTCGACCAGTCCAACTCCAGTCAGGGGCTGAAGCTGAAGAAGAGCGGCTCAAAGTGAGTCCCATACGTCAACCCTTACCTGCAACTACCGTACAACTCGCACCAGAGAGAGCGGAAAAAATGCAGAACTTATTTCTAGCGGCAGGACAGGTTGGAAGATTGTTATTTGATGTTATTTATTGTTTTTTTTTTCTATCATCCAACAGGCTCTGACGTGTTAGATCAATTTTAATGCTGTCAAATGATTAATATTTTTAATCTGATTAATCCCAAAGTAGCTGTGATTTAATCATGATTAATCTTAAATTCAATATACATTTCTATTGCATATTGCTAAAATAAATTACTTGAGTTATTAATTAGTTTTTAATGTTTTTATTTAGAAAACAAAATTGATGCTTAGACAGGATTTTTTTGAATATAAAACAGGACCTAAAAATGCTCCAAACATATTTGAGTCAGTTAAATTTTGTGCAGAATAATGAGGTTAAATCAAGAATTCAAGGATTTTCATTCCAAATGAGTACATGAGGAGGAATGAAAGATAAATACTAAGGTCACAGTTGTCAGCAAAACATAAAAAATAAAGTAAAATAAGCCATAAGAAGACAAAAAAACTGAACATAATGTGTTAAACATGTAGTTTTTAAATTTATTTTATTTATTCAACCTTTATTTATCCAGGTAAACTGTTTGAGAACCACTTCTCATTTACAAACAGGACCTGTCATGCTCTGAGTGCATTGTGATATAAAAACCTACATATTCAACCATAGTAAAGTGATTGTAAATTTTAATCGTGATTAAATTTTTTTAATCTATGCCCAGCACTAAAATGAATCAATATGAATTAACTCGATTAATTTCACAGCCCTAATAAATTTGAAAATGAGGTTTTGAAAAAATCCGTAAGATTGCTCTAAACATCCACATACCTGCAAAATGACATAAAATCCTTATAACTTACGGACAATCCATACAACTTGACATGTGTGGAGTCCACTTTTGTTTTTTCATCTGAAACACTTCGTATTTGCAGCGACTGTCTTAACATTGAACAATTTGATTACATTTATTTTAATTTCTTTTATACGTTGTGTAGAAATACTTGCTCTGGCATTAAGGGAGAACTTCAGCTGGTTTCTCACACCACCCCGTGGTGCTCTGGTCTGACGCCGGTCCACTTTTGTTTATCTAAGATCACTTTCCCAGAATTCCTCTGTGCTTCCTGAAGAGGAGGATGAGAAGTCGTGCAGCGAGTCAGACGCCTGTCGCCACAAACTGGTTGTGGATCAGCAGGAGGTGTGTGTGTGTGTGTGTTAAACAAAGACGCAGTTTATCACCAGGAAGGTTCACGTTTTGTGTTTTATATGTAAAATAATAGAATCTGAGCTGGCAGCTGCTTGTTTTGTCCCACAGAATGGAGTGACTCCAGACAGCGAGAACCTGACTCTGTCCTCGTCTGGAGCCATCGATCAGTCCCCGTGCACCGGTACTCCACTCTCCTCTACCATCACCTCCCCTGAAGGTAGATAAAAACTGCTTGAGCGTGATGTTTACCTTGAAGCCTGGGCTAAAATCGGCACCATAATGTGTTACAACTCTCTCTCCATTTCTGATTTTTATATTTGCCACAGCACTGGCAGGAACACAAGAGGAGAAAACTGGAGTTGTATTAAAATTAAGTGTTGTCGGAATTTAATCCGTTTTTAAGGGAAAACTGAAATATTTGTTTTTGCTCGCAGTCATTTTCTTCAAGACACTTTTAAAAATTGTTGTCAACAAAAAGAATCAGCTTCTTCCGCCTAAATAAGTCAAAAATATCCGCTGACAAGTAACACAAAAAAAGCAAACGAAAAATAGCTCGTCCAGATCCCGAGCCGGACTGGACCGTGACGTCTGTCTCCGTCTGTCTGCCAGACCCCGTGAGCAGCAGCCTGGCCCAGTCTGTCATGTCCATGGCCTCGTCGCACTCCCAGCACTCCCACATCAGCGCTGACACCATGTCCTCCATGTCAGGGTCCTACCTGGCCGGGGCCGAGGGCGAGCCCGTCGGGGACGAGGGTGAAGATGGGGTGGAGGAGAACCAGGACGCCCCCATGGAGAGCCGAGGACCGCTGCAGCAGGAGGCGGTAAGGGCCGAGGAGACGACACGATCCGGTTCAACTGTAAAAGTTTCGTTTCATCACAGAATTATCTCTTTCTGGACACGTTTGTTTATGTTCAGGACCTTTCTAAGGAGACAAAGGGACAAAACTACTCGTTGGCTGCGGAGGAGCAAGATTCAGAGGTGACTGAACTCATGAAACAAGTCAAACATGCTCAAATTTAGTTTCTAATTTGACTTTTTTTCTGTTTTGTTTTTCATTTATTGAAGGGAAATGATGTCACTGAAGAGGACTGCCCCTCCCCTTCTAATGGGAAAGGTAACTATGATGCTCATCCCTCACCTTTAAACCCAGACCTCTCACCTCCCTTTGCATTTGTCGCTCTTCAACCATGAGAACAACAGGTTTGTGCTTTCATGAACTCACAGAAATAACCATTCTATTGTTATCATTGTCCTCTAGATGGAGCAGTTTCTCTCATAATGTTTGCAAACCTGCAGTGTTAGGGCTGGAGTGGATCTTTTCTCATGCAGAACACGTGTAAAGGGCCAAATTTTATTCACAAGAAGCCCTTTGATCAGGGTTTTCATTTGATAGAGCCCTTTAAATTTTTAATTGTGTCCATTTGAGCCCAGCTGTTAATCTGAAAACTTAAACGCTACACTCTTTAGAGAGTCCAACACTTAAACTGTAAAAATTACGCAGGGAAAACACTTTAAATGAAACTAACACAGAACATTCTGAATTTAAAGGGATCCTTGATTAGTTGTAACATTAGACTTTATTTGATAAACATATATTTTAACTGTAAAATAAAGACTGTAAAAATACAGTAGGATGTTCAGTTTTGTACATTTTAAAATATATATTTTAGCACTGACGGAGCCATTTTATTTACATGCAAAGCATTCTGGGTAAATGATGACGTGGATAGGTCCTCGGTGTGAGCGAGCTATATCCTCCCTGAAGGTTAATCTTGGACAATATCTGATGATCGACTCTTTTAAATGAAACCAGAG